ATATATATTTTCTATGTTGGGTCAGTCTGTGTTAAAAATGACAGGGGTCGTTGTGGCTCTCCGGGTCCACCTGAAATTAATTAAAAGGAAAAGGCTGGATGCTGCTTGTGAAGCACAGAGCCGCGGGGTTCTTGCATGTAAGGCTAATGTTTCTTATTATGTGTGAAGAATTGATCCGCAATGGACGCAGGGAGCACATTGCCAGACAGGACACCGGGTCTTACACGACTTGTCGGCCAGTTTTCCCTGGATCAGGATAAATAGAAAGGCTTTACAACAAGGCCCCTATTATGACCTGTTAATACCGGCGCACTTAGTTTTAATTCATAAAATATGATAATTACCGACGGGCGTAGACGTTTTAGAGAAAAATGGCTCCACATCTTATTGCGCAAATGAGACAATTCGATCATGGTTGTCGCGGTCTGCGTAATTGATTTAGTCTAATATGAGGAGTTAAGTCATTTCTCCTTTTGATGCCTCTCCGCACATGGCTCCGCGTTACAGCTCAAACCTCACGACCGTCCACGTGCCGCCGGTTCATTTGAAAAAACAAAGCTGTCTCGGTTTGTCTGTGCTGAGCCAGAAATCACAAATGAGTTGCACGCAGCGCCGCTGTCTGTGGCTCTTTCTGCGTGTGGTATACATGTGTGTGCAGCAGTGTGACCTCCCTGCACCAGGGTGAATGGATCATTATTCATAAGGTGTTTTCCCTCTCTTGCTTCCTTCAGTCCGCTGCGAGACGTGCAGGCACCTGCTGCGCAAACTGCCAGACCACCACCACCACCCTGTGGAGGCGCAACGGGAACGGAGACCCGGTGTGTAACGCCTGCGGCCTTTACTTTAAACTGCACAATGTAAGTAGACTGCATGGAAGAGGGGGAAAAAAAACTGGAGGGTCTTTTTCTTGGGGAGGGGTATTGGGGTTTAGCTGGTCGTTAACTGGTCAAGTGGGCGGACAGTTTGTATCGATTTAGGAGTGTGGAGGCAAAGCCTGCTCACCCTGTGGAGCAGAACCCACCAGTCCTCTCCCTTTTTTTATTAATCCATCGTTGTCTCAATGGGGGGCGTTACTCCCAGGAGAGGCTGTGGGGTGGGACTGTCATTCAGTGTAACGGCGTCAGTTACACTGATGAGGATTTGTCTGAAACTGCTCTTTTGAGGCCCAAAGCCTGCTCCTCTTCCCCATGTATTCATATCACCCAGGACGGTTCTGTTTGCTTTTAAATGAGACAAAAGCCAAAAAGAAAACACGCCCCTGACTAGCCTTATAATGCAGCTATATATGCAAAACAGCTGCTCATTATTAACAACCTTCATTTCACACTGGTATAACTCTTAATAATGAAAGAAAGCCATGTATATGCTAATTGGCAAAGCGATATGTGACATATTCTTGGTGACATTTTAAATGATGGGCTGGAACTAACAGTTAAACAAACCCCAACCACTATAGTGCTCGTGCCGTGAGTGCAGCTTTTGTTTGGTCTGTCATGAGCTAATGTGTTGCTCTCCACAGGTTAACAGACCCCTGACCATGAAGAAGGAAGGCATCCAGACACGCAACCGCAAGATGTCCAGCAAGTCCAAGAGGAACAAGCGAACAGGGGACGGCTTTGACGAGCTGTCCAAGTGCATGCACGACAAGGCCTCTCCCTTCGGTGGTGCACCCGGCCTCACCAGCCACATGACCCACATGGGTCACCTGCCCCCCTTCAGCCACTCGGGACACATGCTGCCTACTCCCACGCCTATTCATCCTTCATTCGGTCACCCCCACCACTCCAACCGCTCGCCAGTCTGGGCCGAGCCTCACTGAGGGCCCCACCAGACCCAAAACTCCTCCAGCCTGTAGGAGTCGCCGCGCCGCCATTAACACTAAATGGCCTTCACATCACGCCAAAAGCTGAGCAGACTTGTTGCGTTATGTACAGTGGTTGGGAGGGGAGGGACTCTCAGTTGGACTTTGTAACTGAAGGTCACGTTATGCCTGACTTCACTGATGGGACGCCACAGAAAGCAGGACTTTTGCGGACTCTGTGAAGAGCAAATGTGACGAGGGGCTTCCCTGGTCCCTGGGTGATTTGAGGCTTATAGGAATGGAGTGAACGGAGATGCTTTTCATTCTTTTTGCTTATTTTTACTGAGTCACTTTGGTACCCACCTCTCCATGACCCTGTAACAGGAGACTCAAGAGGTCTTTAAAGATTGTCCCCGCCTCACAACCATCTCATTATATGCTGAGATACGTGGACCCTGTCCATCCCCATGCTGTCGTCCTCAACTGCCATGGACTTCAGTGCTGGAGGTCTAAAGACTGGCTCACAGCTACAGCACCCGTACGCTTCTGTTACCATCCAGGCCCAGATTACAATACCCATAAACCAGTTCTCTCCTCACATGCTGGATTGTACACCACCACAACGCTCACCTGTTTTTAATAATGGACTTTTAAGGAAAAAAGGCACCGTAAATAAAGTGTTTATAAATGCTTAATTGCTATTATTGTTGTCATATTTGATGTTATAATTATTGCTACGATAATTTATTTTCACTCTTAAAGCTTTCGTCAAAGACACATGGAAACTGTTATGATTTTAATTTCATGGTTATTACGTAAAGAAAAACACTGACCTATCTTAGATAAAAAAAGGCCCTGAGCTGTATGTTTTTATCATTTTTCCATCTCACAAAAGTAAAGTAAATAAAGTTTAATACTGAAGTTCAATCTGTCACTGTCTCTTCAGTTTAGTCTGTCTCCATCACTCTCACATACATATACACAAACAATAGAGCATCAACGTAAACTCTCCTTTTTAATGAAGAGTGCTTGATTATCTAAATCATAAGTGATATCAGATGTATCAAGGAAAATTCTGTGATCCCTTGAGCGTGGTAATGCTTTGGTCAGGCTCCTCCTCTATGTGCGATTGTTAAGAGAAGGCCTCTTTGTGAAGCTGAGGCCCCAGGCTGGACCACTGTACCCAGACAGCAGGCTCCGGAGTCACACACAGTCATACATATGCACATTACCACATGCTCACGCACAGACATGGAAAAAAAACAAACACAAACCCTAATTCACACCCTTGTGTAACCAAATAACCCACGCAAGGTCTCTTATTTAGCTCCAGTAGCAAGTTTTTTTTTGTTTTGTTTTTTCAGAATTCATATGTGACAAATACTGAGTCATGAGTTCAGCAGAAGCCGCTCTCGGAGTAGCCCTCTATGTTGGCCGTTTTGATTGGAGTGAGAGGAAGGACAGCGGGTCTTTAGTGGGAGAGAGAAGAGGAAGGAAAGGCAATCAGGCGACCTGAGCAAACACGTGGGGGTCTGCTCAGACCCTTTGCACACAGATGTGCACGCAGCTGAGGCTGCCAGGAAGCAGGCGTCGACTCTGCTTCTCCCCGTCTCATCTCGTCCTCTTTTTCTTTCTCTTTCTGGTTGTTTTGTTTGTTTTTCAGTCTCCCCTCTCTGCTCTCCCATTTATTCTGTTTGTCTTTTACTCTCCTCCAATCTCTGTTTTTGTGTTGCTCATTCTGCCTCTCCCGCCCATTTGGACGATTACAGTCAAGTAAAACGACTGGAGAAAACTTTGAACAGAGCCAGCCGCTAATGAGTCTGCTCGATTAGGGCCAATTTGAGGTCATCATCGTGGAGTTCAGCATGCCCTCACACACCCACAGCACAAACCATCCGATTAAACAGTCCGAGCTAAAAGTGGACCACTACCCCTCCCTGAACCCTCCACCCTGCTCACATCTGCTGGACTGCTGTGGAGCTTGATCTGCTGGGGTTTCCCATGAGGCTCGATCAGTTCAAATTGGAAATAGTATTTACCCAGGGATTTATGAAATTGCTGTTTTTTTAATAGTGTGGCTGAAGCACTCCGATGTCAGCTTTTGCTACATCTTAGCACCCACAACACTGTACACATACAGTTACAAGACTGAACGACTGCATCTGTGGGTCTATTTTCAGAGTAGGGGTGGGATCCCCCCTGATCCACTTGCTGAGCATCAGTGGAAATGTAATGCCTGGCTGCCAATAAGCAGTCTAGCCATCTGTGTGCAGCGTAGTGCTGTGGGTGCTGGGTCGTGTGCAGACCACGGCTCCAGCGGGTTGTGTGCTGCTGCAGCCAGCGAGCCTGCTTGCCCGGGCTTGGCCGCGGTCCCGCAGCCTGAGAGGGGGCGACAGAGAGAGCCAGCACTCTTCAATGAGGCCCTCCAGAGGGAAGGAGCAGCTCTCCCAAACATAATACAGCAGTTGGCCAGGCTAGTGACTCCCAAAGCTGCCCTCTCGTGAACACACCTATCCACACACACACAAACCACATACATACAAAAATGGTGTTTCACAAAGCTGCAGAGGCAGTGGTTGTGTTTGGAGGAAGTCGGGCCATGGTTCAGCTCCGAGGTCCGAGAAGATACAGGCATGCACACTTGCTTCTAAAAGGAAAGCTTAAGAGTTGTGCTTGACATCATGTTCCACCACTACTCCATTTTCTGCAACATTAAATTTTACGCAGACTCACCAAGCCTGACTAGATCATCAGCTATGTTGAACAAGACATCCCCCTCCTAACTTGTGAATTATGTGACACGAAAAGAGTAGTAAAATAGGAAGTCACTTATCTTCACTATCAGAGTGGCGTTGCTCAGAGAAGATGAAGACGAGTGATCTCACATGCGTCAGTGGGGTTGAATGTGCTGGTGGCCACCTAAGATCAGAGCATGGAGAGGTTTACGACTTCAACCTGGAACTGGATGTTTCAACTCATCTCCACTCCCTATACTCCTTTTCTTTCTCCCCTCCGCTCTTCCGTTTGTCCTCCCCCGCTGTCTCCACCACCACTCATTCCCCCTCAGAGCGCCTTGCAAATTTCTGTTTCTTTCCCTACTCCCACTCTTTTCTTGCCTCCCACTCCCCTAGTGTATTTGTTTTTCCATCAAATTGAATTAGCGGAATCAAAAGGTATCCCGACCATCCCCTCACAAAGTTGAGTTAGGGAGAGAGACACGTAGAAGATGAAAGGAAGTGGAGTGCGGTTCAGATGCAGGTCTCGTTGTGTGTGTGTGTTGCAGGAGGGGGGGTGTTGACCTTTGCCTGGGCCTAGCTAAAAAAGCATCCCTCCTTCCTCAGACCCCTAGAAGGATATTAAGGCCGCAAGACGGGACAGTATTTAGAGAATACAAACAGGGGACATATATTCCAGCCTGAATTTGCCATAAAGTCACCTATAAGTAGTTTGTTTGTTGATGCTTGAGTAAAAAGAGAACTTGCGCTTTGCTATGAAGCATTAACTGAGCTGTTAACTCTGAGATGCGATTACTACAAAGTCATAGCGGTTGTGCTACAAAGACACCCACATGTGAACTTCCTCTTTTCACGGATGAAGAGAAATTCATAGAAATGCCCCTCTGATAAGAGGCTGACAAAAAAAGATGGTTACATTCAGTAAAACACCTGGAGAGCACTATTCATGGGAACCTCCGCAGTTACACCATTTGACACTTGATCAACTCTGTAACACTTTGAAAATCAATCAACCATATAGTGGTGTGATATGCAAAGCTTTGACAGGGATAACTCTCACATGACTCATGCAGCAGATAATCACCGATGACCTTTGTTGACATGAAAGAAACTGCATCCTGACCTGCCAAACCTCAGATCTCTGCAAATGTCAAAAATTTGTTTGAAAAAGTCAAATGTGTTTTGATCTTGCATCATTTTTTTGTCTCCTCTGTGACCTCCATCATGTCAGTGCAGGGTTTTTATCCAGCACGTTGTATGCATACCCACAACTAAAATCAACCCAGTGTACCACTGGTTTTGCTAAAGCTAGGGTTGGCATGCCTGGAAAAGTTTGCGAGAGCAGATAACAATATGCAACCGATGTATCCCAGCCACTCCCATAAGCCCTCTCATGAATGCTATGCCCAGAAAACACTTGAACATGCATTGCATTGTATGGTTCTCCAGCTTGTAAAGACTCATGCACAATAAGAAAACAGACAGGGTGCGCAGGCAGGTCGTCTAGTGTTTATTACAGTCCTGAGAGCCAGACACCAGCTTTTCTTGTTTTTTAAGACTTTATTAAGTTGTGTTGAGACGTGAAAAGTATTTCAACAAATAAGATATAAAGTGATTCAGCAAAAACTTACCAACCCTTCCTTTATTACATACATTATTAGCTGCAGAATAATTTGGGCTAATGAACAGTTTCCTCGCACACTATGCTCGGACACAAAAGCTAAAGTGTTTAATATACTTTTTTTTGGACTTAAAAGAGATTAAAGGTTAAAAAGAATGTGTGTCTGTATACCTCATGTATTTTGGATGTGGAGTCCGTAAATATTTTTTCTAAAAATAGAGGGGCACTCATGTAGAGTACATTCTTACACCAAACAGTCCCATTATGAAACCACATTTAAATTCATCTGGAATTTCATTTGGATCTGTGCCTAATTGCAGACAATCATAAAAATGAGTCTTCTAAATGCCTGAATACATGTTGAAAAACTTCCTATCTCGCAATGTTAAAGAAATTAAAAAGAAATTCCTTGATCCACCACCTCATCCAGATCCACACCAAAATTGAATGGATTCTTTCCTACCCATACCACATCCATCCACTAAATTTCATTGTCATCTGTAGTTTTTGAACAATCCTGCATGCTTACCAACAGACAGGCAAACACAGACAAAAACATAACCTCCTCTGTGAAGGTAATACAAACATTTTAATGAAGAGTTAATTTCAATGTTTTAGAAAAAACTACTTTCTTTTTTTTTACCCGCAATTCTAAGTAGAAACGTGACAGACAAAGAAAGGGAGAATGTTTTTTTTTATCATTAATCAAAGATAAACCAGTTTGTGGTTTTAAAAAGTAGAGCGCACTATCAATGAAAGGGTTTATGAGTGGTGTGTAGAGATATGGCCCTTTATGGCTGTTATGTTGTAGATCCCAGTGATAACCCCCCCCCTCTCCCTCAGTAGCCACTCACTCTGCTGTTGGGGATGCTGCTGTCATGGTGTTGTACCTGGCTTCTCCTGTTTGCACACATTCCCTGCTGAAATGGCGCTGATACATTCACTTCCCACTAATCGAACAAACTTGCTGAAATTCCAAACTTTTATGAATTGCCATCCGTCATCTGCTCAGTTCACACATTTTTTCCGTGGTAACAGGGTGTGGACATGCAGGGCACCCCTCCCACGACTCACCCTCAAAATGAGGTCAGTCTCCTCTCACCTGGGACAGGGAGCATTCAGGATGTTCACCAGGGACAGGTAGTGTTCAGGTCTCATTCATGCCTCATTCTGCTGTGCTGAGGCCCTCCTGCTCACCTGCTGCAACAGACAAATTCATCCCCACTGTCTGAGGACAACTGAGCCCATTCATCTGGAGGCTTCCATTGACAAACCGGGGGGCAAGTACAGTGCTAATGCCTCGGAGGGCTCAGGGGAGAGGGCGTCTGGACCTGCCATCCTCTTCCGCACCCATATAATGTCCCTCGCCATTCCCAGCCCCCGCCCACTCCACTCGCTCTTTTTCTGCTTTCACTGGCAGGTAACTGGAGAAAGGCATTGGTGAGGGGGCTGAGGGCACCCTGGCTCATGGCCAGGAGTGAGAGGATGGAACCCAGTTGCCTACCCCAGGATGGATCCTCTGGACACTCCCACAGGGACTGATGACCAGACAGAGAATG